TCTCTTCTGCCCCTGCTGCTCCATCCCGTTCCCCTTAGCCCTGCGCCTCGACCGTGGCTGCTGCTGCTGCTGAGTGCATACCTATGCTATTATGGTCTGTTTGGAATGCAGCTGAAGATTGGGGGGCCCCTGGGGGCCCCCAGTCTTCTAGCAGAGGGCACTGCGCAGGTAGACGCAGTGCAGCAGATAGAGTTTCGTCTTGCTGCTGCAGCAGCAGCTGCTGCTGCGGTTGCTGCTGCAGAAGGGGTTGCTGCTGGTGCTGCTGCTGCTGTTGCTGCTGCTGCTGCTGCAGGCTGCATTCCGTTCTAAATAGGGCCTCTGCTGCCTCGGGGGGCCCCCAGGGGGGGGGCCCCACCGGCGTGGGCCCCGGGGAGAGCAGCAGAGGGGTGTTTGTACCTGCAGACCACCAGTCATGTGGCTGTGCTGCTGCATGCACTTCTGCTGCTGCTGCTTCTGCTGCTGCTTCGGCTGCTGCTGCTGCTGCTGCTCCTGCTGGTTCTGCTGCTCCTGCTGCTGCTGTTGCTGTTGGTGCTGCATACGACGCGCCAGCCGATACGTCATATGCCTGCCATGAGTTTTGCTGCTGCTGCACTGCTGGTGCTGCTGCTGCTGCTGTTGCTGTTGCTGCTGCTGCTGCTGCTGCTGCTGCTGCTGTTCCTATCAATGGGGGACCTGAGAAGCCTAAGCCTTCCTCCTTTACTGCTGCCTCATGAAACTCTCCAGCAGCAGCTGCTGCTGACGAGGCCTCCAGGTTCACCTGCTGTTGCTGCTGCTGCTGCTGCTGCTGCTGCTGCTGATGCTGCTGCTGCTGCTGCTGCTGCTGCAGTGCTGCTTGGTGGCCCCCGTATGCGAGGCCCATGCCTTGGGTAGGCAGCAAAGAAGGATAGGCTGTCTCCTCTTCTCCGCTGCTGCCGCTGCAGCAGCTGCAGCTGTCGCTGCTGCTCGATGCCAGCAGCTGCTGCAGAGAGGGGAAACCAGAGGGGGGGCCCCGGAGCTGCTGCTGGTCTGCTGCTGCTGCTGCTGCTGCTGCTGCTGCTGCTGCTGCTGTCTTGGTGCGATGTCGAGACCGAGAGGAAGCAGAGGCGTTGGAGCCTCTTGCTGCTGCTCGCCGCTGCGGCGCCTGTGGGGTTTCAGCAGCTCTTGCTGCGTAGCTGCTGCTGCTGCTGCTGCTGCTTCTGCTGCTGCTGGGCGCCTTAACCTGCCAGGATGCGCAGCTGACGTCGCTGCTGTTGCTGCTGGTGCTGGTGCTCGCGCTGCTGCTGCTGCTGCTACTGCTGCTGCTGCTGCTGTCCGGGAGGCCCCCAGCTTTGCTGCACTGCAGCAGCGGGGGTGTCAGCTGCTGCAGCAGCGGCTGGGGAGCAGCAAAAGGCTGCACTAAGGTGCCTTCAGGTGTATGTACAGCTAGTGGGGGGGCCCCACATATATTGTAAGGCATCGAAGTCAACCAGGGCTGCTGCTGCTGGTGCTGAGAGGGTTGCTGCTGCTGCTGCTGCTGCTGCTGCTGCTGCTGCAGCTGCTGATGCTGCTGGTGCTGCTGGTGGATGCTGCTGATCTTTTGAGAGGCACGCTCCCACTCGCATAGCAGTGATGCAGGTGGTTCAGGTCCAACTGCTGCTGCTGCTGCTGCTGCTGTTGCTGCTGCACTTGCTGCTGCTGCTGCTGCTGCTGCTGCTGCGGGGTCTGTGCTGCCTGGGGCGTTATGAAGGTCGTTGTAAGGATACGGGGCGTCTAGATAACAGTCTTCAAGCTGCAGCTGCTGTGCAGCAGCAGCTGCTGCTGCTTCTGCTGCTGTTGCTGCTCGGGCCGGCACAGCTGCTGCTACTGTTGCTGCTGCGGCGGCAGCAGCAGCATTTGCTGCTGCTGCTGCTGCTGCTGCTGCCTCCTCTTTCTTTTCGACAGCGCACAGAGAGGGGGCCCACTGCAGCCCAGGGAAGGCCCCAAGCCCTCCAGGCTGCGGGTCTTGCTGCAGCAGCAAATGCCGGTGAGGTTCGTGCTGCTGCTGCTGCTGCTGCTGCTGCTGCAGTTGCTGATGCATCTGCTGCTGCACCTGTTGCTGCATCTGCTGCCGCATTTGCTGCTGCGGCTCTGGCTGCTGCAGCTCTTGCTGCTGCACATACCATGTGGGGCCCCCGTATGGGGGCCCCAGGGGTACGTCCGCGGGGGCCCCCA